CCCTCCTTGCCTCCTATGATAGTTAACCTTGTCAACTTGACTGGATTTATAGTAGTCATGGAAACACACCTGTGTGTGTATGAGGACATTTTCAGAAAGGTTTAAATGAATAAGTACTTTGAATTTGGGTAGCACCATTCTGTGGGCTGGGGTTCAAGACTGAATACAAAGGAGAAAGTAGCTGAGTGGCAGCTTTCATCTCTCTCTGCTTCCTGATTGGATATGTTGTGACCACCTACCTCTCCTGCACCCCCTGGGCCTTCCCCTATGTGATGGACTGTGCCCTGAAACTGTGAGCTAAAGTAAGCCCTTCTTCCTTTATGTGGATTTCCTCAGGTATTTTGTCACAGCACTGAGAAAAGTCACAAATATACCTCCTATCTGCCTCAGTGTCTCTCCTGAGGTTTGCCAAGACCCCAGTGGGAAGCAGAAGGGTCCTTGTTGTCTTGCCTGGACTTGTTCAAAGGACTCTCCTGCATGGCATCCTCTCCCACCTGCTCCGAATGTTTGAGGGGAATGAAGAGCAGCAGGCACAGTTTTATAATATGATGTCAGCTCTGGAAGGTGTCTGTCATTTGTAAAGAAACACTGGGTATGGAGGACCGACTCACATGGCAAGCTGTTTGTTTCCCACCTGCAGGAACCGTTTTGGAATGGAGAAAAGGAGAACTGCAGCTGGTTTACCTGTAGGAGAGAGGGCTCTTGGCTCACCCCCAGGAGCCATTGCTTACTGGGGCTTGGTTAAAGAAGATAGAGCCTATTGTTTTAGTCTTTAGGATCTTAGAGATTTGTAATTGGTAGTTGCAGTGACAGAGGAGGTCAGGCTAGCCTGAAAGGAGATTTTTTTTTAATTGTATATTTTCCTATGGTCTAGCTTTCCCTGTGTCAGCATTAGTAATAATGGTGACAATGATGGTAGAAAGGAAAGTTATGTCACAGTGTGCCAGGTACTGTTCTGTGTACTGACCATCAAGTCACCAATTTAATCCCTCTCCATTTTTAGGGATTACTCAAAGGCTACATTTTGAAAGACGTTTATGTCATTTAAGCTACTTTTGCATGCTGCCTAAACATTCAAAATCCCTTCCAGGTCATTCTGTGCCTCCTGTCATCATAACCCACATCCCAGAGTAGAAAACAGGTGTGGTATCAGGAGACTGTTTCCTTCCCATCTTGTTCTGAACTCTTAGCATCTTACAGCATTAGAAAAGCTCCTGAACAGACTGGGACACTCCCCATGTTTTACCATCATGGAGTTCATTCTGTCCTTCCCAATACCTGAAGCAGAGAGGTAGTGGCCACACACCCAGGTGTCAGCAGCACCAGCCTCAGGGAGTAAAGTGGGACCAGGGCAAGTGGGGCATGCTTTCATTTTGCTCTCCCGCACCTGCATGTAAGAAAAGATCACATTGCCATCAATAAATAAACTGTCCCATTTTTCTCAGAACACTTTGCATAGCTTCCATTCCTCCTCCACCTCTCCTTTCTGGCAGGCAGAGGAGCAGAGAATTCTGTGCCAAGGGAAAACCAGCCACACAATACATAGGAGCAGCAAGAAGGAGATGGGGAGTTGGGACTACCTGCACGGGGACGGCTCTTGTTCCCAGGCGTTAACACTGGATATTCCAGTTTATCAGGAGAACTGGAAACTGACTTTTTAGGTAGGAAACTTTACATATTTTAGACAGTAACATAAAACAAAAAAATTGTGTGGCCAAATAAAACATGGCAACCAATTTATGACTTTATTACATTATCACAGGATTGATTGTCTTATCCTTGGGTAGAGAAGTGTAGGGCGTTATTCCCAGGAGCACAGGGAAGAGAGTGGAGGCCAAACTGATTTGTTTTATATTTTAATTTAAAAAACTTTGTTTATGAGGTGTGTGTTTCTGTGAGTGTGTGTTTCTGTGTGTGTGTGTGTGTGTGCCTGTGCACACGTGTGAATGTGGCAGCATCAAGTATCCTCCTCTGCCACCCTCTATTACTTTTTGAGACAGGGTCTCTCCCTGAATCTGGGGCTCAGGTTTTCTCAGCTAGGCTGGAAGCCAGCAAGCCCCAATGAACTTCCCGTCTCCACCTTTCTCAGAGCTGGGGTTAGAGGTGTGTACTGTAGTGGACACTCAGCTTGTTATTTGTGTTAGGATCTGAACTCTGGGCCTCATGATTGCATAGCAAGCACTCTTAACTACCGGGCCAGTTATTCAGCCCCTAATTTTTTTATTTTTGAGACAATGTCTTAACATGTAGTCTGGTCTGTCCTTGAATTTGTGACTCAGCCTCCTGAGTGCTGGGATTACAGGCGTGGACCACATTGCCTAGCTCTAAATTTTAGGTTTAAAACATCTCAAGGGGTCACAAGGTGGGTTCACATTGCAGTTTTGTCTGCTCAGCACAGTACCTTTTGCATGGCAAGAGCCCCTGGGCTTCTGTACACCGCTTTGGTTTGCCATGGCCTTGGGTTTCTCTGATCTTACTTGGGCTTTGTAATTGAGGGCTCAGTGCTGTCTGAACAGTTCTGTCTCCATACTTCAATTCTGGATTCCTGGGACAGAGAATCTCCTTGGTTCTTAACTGTTTGTGTGTCTCACTGTGTAACCCAGGCAAATCTCAAACTTGCAGTCCTCCTGCCTCTGCCTTCTAAGTGCTAAGATTACAGCACGTGCCATCATACCTGAGTCCGGATAGTTCTGAAGGGGTTCAGTACATTGTGATTCAGCCCCTTGTGACTAGAGAAAGACAGGGCATAGAATATGTATCTTCCTCTTCCAGCCCACAGATGGGTGAGCCTGGGGTGGCCTGGGTGACAAGGGTGCAGTCTCTTAGTACGTCTTTGGATGTCCCCACTCCAGTGACATAGGAGATGTCTCTGAGATTGACATACAGAGCTTTCCTATAGCTCTGTTGCCTGCCTCTTGTGACGAAAACTGAATTGCTTTTTTCTAAAATGCCTCTTAAATTTCCCAAATGCTCAGTGGGATGCAGATATTCATTCCAGGACTTGGAATCTTCTCAGTCAGTTCTAGCAGGCTCTGGCTCATGCTGCAGAAAGGTCCCGTATGTAAATGGAACACATCTTTGGCAGGCTGGGGCACTGCTACAGAGGCAGAAAGAAAACCTGTGGCAAAAGATTGCATCAAAAGCATAGAGGCATTCAAGCATGTTGAAAGGGTGTTTTCTTCAAACAGTCCTTTTGGGCTTTAAAAAGGAGGTCATAATGACACAACATTTCAGGCCAGGGGTCAGCAAACCACATCCTTCCTGTCAGATTTGGCCCACCGCCTGTTTTTAGAGTTGTTTTGTTTTTGAAACTCAGCTATACTCGTTTGTCCACTTATTTCTGAAACTGTTTCTCCACAGTATCATAGTTCAGTAGTTGCACCAGAGACTACTTTATACCACCTAGTCTTTTATAGGAAGTTTGCCAATCTCTGTTTTAGTTCAGTTATCAAAATACCTCTCTAGACTGAGGCACAGTTAAATTCTATGAAGTTATTGGAAAAAGAAAACTGATATTTCAGAAAAACGGTCCTGGAAGAATGCTGGGCAGTTCAAAATGAGAACCATTCTGTGCTGTTTTATACACTGAGGTGATTTGGTGGTTTGGTGTTCTGTGGTATTTTAGTTAAACCATGCTGGGGAAGAATCCTGCACTTCGGGTTCTGAATGTGCCCATTCCAGGTTAGTGCTTCCTGCTGAGTAAGCCGAGTAAGCTGAGAAAGCATTTGTTGTTGTTGGGCTTTTTTTTTTTTTTTATGAGGTTTTCAATCCACTAGTTTGGTTGTGTTTATGTCTGTCCTCTGAGCAAGCCTTGCTCTTAAATCTTCATTTTATTATTTTTATCCTTATAAAAAGTAGTATAAATAGAAATTTATTTCAAATATTCATTAAAAATTGGAAAGGTTGTAACAATACAGGGAGGGAAAACTTAAATTGCCTTTAATTAGAACCCTTAGTCATGTAATATGGCTAATGAACATGAAGTATTTTGTATTTATAATCTTTTCACAAAATCAGAACCTTACCTTCTATTTTGAAACATATTTTTTTTAATTAAGTATATTGAACTTTCTTGTATTATTTTATAATGCAGTTTTGCATTATTTGTATAATAATAAATGTATTTTTTTCGTCTAAATTAATGCCTTACTGCTGGTTATTTTGGTTGTTTCCAACTGTTCATTATGCAAAAGTGACATTATGCTCCTCTGTATTGATTTCCTTGGGATAAAGTCCTGGTTTAGAATTACTGCCTCAGCAAGCATACGCAGGACTGGAGAGATGGCTCATTCAGTCCAGTGTCAGCTACGCAAGCACAGGACCTGAGTTCAGATCCCCAGAGCCCACTAAAAAGCTGGGCAAGGTAACTAGTGTGGTCCTGCAATCCTAGCCTTGGGGGGCGGGAAGACAAGTAGATCCCTGAAGCTCACTGGCTGGCCAGCCTGCCTGACGGAATCATGAACTTCAGGTTGAGTGGAAGACTTTGTCTGAAACAGTAAAGGTGGAGAACAAATGAGGAAAGACACCCAGTGTCAACCTCAGGCTTCCACATGCTTGTAAATGTGTGTGCATGCACACCCACACATACCACATACACAACTCTCCATACCACACACACACACACACACACACACACACACACACACACACACACACACACACACACACACACACACACACAGAGTTAGCAGACTGGGAATGTGGCTTATTGGTAGGACTCTGTGCTTAGTATGAGCAAGGCCCTGGCTTCAATATTTGAGTATTTTTAAGTCTTCCAGTAAATATCTACCAAATTGTCCTCCAGGAATACTGTGCCAACTTATACACCGGCCAGGAGGCATGAAGGCACCTGATTTTCATAGTAAATGACAAGTGATTTTCATATTTTTATTGGGGAAGTGCCTCAGTAATCTGGCTGTTGCTTTAGGTGCCCTGAACCTTATGCACCGTGGTGCTGGGAGACACATGTTGAGTGACTGTCATTCTGGCTTCTCATACAGGCTCCCCCTCCGAAACCACCTCGAAGACAGGGAGGCTGGGCTGATGATTCCATGAAGATATCAAAGTGAGTATGACAGATAATTGGGATCAGGTGGGGGTCAGGGTGTGGGGACATCACTCCTGTTTTTTAATATATATACACACACACACACAGAGACACACACAATCTTATCGAGAAGAGCCACACACCACTTAAAGTAGCCATTGTAATTGTTCTTGGTATAGGCGTAGAGTTCTGTAACTATCACACTGTCAATTCTAGAATATTTTTATCCTACGCCATCAAAGCAACCCTGTATCTCTTAGCACTTTTGACATCACTTCAGCTTCCTCAGCTGTAGGCAACAATCAGTTTCTGTCTGTGATTTGTGTCAGTGGAATCCTGCCTTTATGACTTACCTCTGGCTTGGCAGAACATTTTCACAGTTCATCCTTGTGAGTTCTTATTTCCTCAACATGCTAGAATGACCTGTTAGTAGCTATAGATAAACTCTTAGCATGTCTGTCTTAGACACAGATTATTCCATTCATCAAGAACAGGGCAGGTGTCCCATCACCCTGCCTGGTTGGCATCTCATGTTTACTGTAAGCCAGGCCTGAGAGCTGGCAGGAATGTTGGCACCATGACCATTCAGTATCATCTCATCAGCTGTCTTCTTCCTTGAGTTCCTGGAAGGAATAGCTAGTGTCACAGTGCCCATGGCAGCCCTTGTAAGCCGTGTGGGACTGTGGGTGCCAGGTTCATTCTCACATAGCTGGATAATGTTGGGTAAGGAGTTCATGATCTCTGAGCCTCCGGGTGGACATGTGGTGCTCCTGACAGGGTGGTACAGGGATGGAAGCAACAGGACCAGTGCTGCTTTGGTAGCTTCCTGGACTTTCCACAGCTTGTGCCAGAGGCTGATCTCTTGCGGTTTCACATTGAGAGATGGCAGAGTATGATGATGGAGAACCACAGGGTCTGGAACCCAAATAGCTGGTCTTAAGTCCTAACTGCCACTTGTTATCACAGAGAACTTAAGCAAGTGAATTGATTTCACCTATATGGCTTCAGTTTCCTATCTCTGTGGTGGCATTAAAAATAGTTCTTACTTCAAAGGTCTGGTGTGAGGATGAAATGAATTCATATGGGTAAAAAAGCACTTGGAAGAAAGAGAAGCATTAGGAAGTGCTAGGTTGATGTTGGTTATGTTAAGGTGATGATCATGTTTCTTGTCCCCATTGCCTCCTCACAAACAGCTTTGAACATACTTTTTTGCACAAGCATTCTGGCAGGTGGTGGTATTTCTAAGTTGGAAGAGCTTTAGGGTATTTATACCTCTACATGAAGGATGTGTTAGGGAGTACTTCCAGGTCAAGAAATTAAGGGTTGTTTTGACTATCTGGAATCATCCTTAATCTGAGTTAGCATTAGCTGCCTTAAGGACAGGAATGTCAGACCTCTAAAGCTTTACTCTGAGAAGATTTTGCTGGGTTTTTATATGTTTGTTTTGTTTTTGAGACAAGAGTATTGTGTATCCCAGACTGGTCTCCAACTCAATTTGTAGCTAAGAATGACTTCTAGTTTGTTATTCTGTTGCTGTGATAAAACATTGACCAAAACCAACTTGGGAAAGAAAGGGTTTATTTCATCTTACATGTTATAATCCATCATCAAGGGAAGCCAAGGCAGGGACTGAAGGCAAGAACCAGAGCAATACTGAAGCAGAGACCATGGAGCAACCAATGTTGCTTACTGGGTCACTTCCCCTGGCTTTTCAGCTAGTTTTCTTAATATAGCCCAGGCCCACCATCTTAGAGATACCACCACCCACAGTGGGATGGGCCCTCCTACATCAATTAGCAATTAAGAACATGCTCCATAGACATGCCCACAGGGCAATCTGATGGGGAAGTTCCTTAATTGAGGCTCCCTCTTCCCAGGTGACTCTAGGTGTGTCAGGGTGACAGCTGAAGCTAACTATGAGAATGACTCTGACCTGATTCTCCAGTCTCCACCTCTGGAGTGCTGGGATTATAGGTGTGCATCACCGTATCTGGCTTAGGCAGTGGTAGGGATCAAATCAAGGACTTCACGCATGTTCGATAAGCATTGTACCAGTGGAGCTATGTCCCAGCCTGAGAAGTGTTTTAAACTTAGAACAGAGATGGGTGCTTGGGCCATCCAATATATCATCCATGTTGGGATGGTTTCTGAATTACTTTGTCTTGGTGTGAGGGAGAGCAGCTTTCATACTTCTTTCTACCCCCCCCCACAAGAACCAAATTTGCATGCTGATTAATATGTGACAATTGGTCATCTGTGGTTTTGCCCATATCACAATGAATTTAAAATGCAGGCATCTGATCCAGGCACACCTGGGTGTTGGTTAGGTTTCGATACTTCAGCTGTAGTATAAACTTAGGGATGCTACTTAGTTCTATAAAATAGCAATAATCAGCATTGCAAAGAGTTCTGAGACTTGAACATGGAACATAGGAAAAAGCACTCAGCTTAATGTAGTACCTGACCAGGTACTTCTATTATTTTTGTTAGCATGTTTCAAGGCCCAGGGTTTGATCCTCAGCACAAGAAGAAAAAAACAATGTTTTAACAGTGGCACTTAGAAATAAGGGATGGTTTGCGTCTCCCTTAGTTCTGGGACTATGAAACATGAAAGTGTTTCTCTGGTAGTGCTGCCGCCTCCAGCTTCCTCCCTTAGCCTCTGACTTCCAGCAGTCCTGGAGCAGGCAGCTTCCAGACTAAACAGGCTTGATTGCAATTGGTTTTTATGGATTCTTAAAGTTCGATTCATTGCATAAGTGTAGCTAATCTGGGCCAGTCTGAAACAAAGAATCTCATACTATGGTGTCAGACATTTTTCTATAAGTCCCATTTTACAGATGAAGTAAGTGGAACATGGATGCTATGAGTTAGCAAGTGCTCTGTTCAGATGCCAGTGCCGGCGGGATTACAGATCATTTTTGTTCTTAATCCCTTGCATCCAGTCTTAGATGTAAGGTAAAACAAAACTGTATTTACCACACCAGTGGGATGGCTACCTGTCAAGTCTGTTTAAGCCACACAAAGATGTACACAAATTAGTCTTTTTTTGTTATTTATAATTTTTATTTTTTATTTGTGTGAGTGTATTACCTGCATGTGTATAAGTGCACATGTGTCATGCAATGCCCACAGATGTCAGAAGAAGGCGTCGGATTCACTGGAACTAGAGTTAGGATGGTTGTTAGCTGCCATGTGGTGTTTGCCCCCCACCCCAAACTCCACTGCTACTGGAAGACTGTTCTCGGGCAGCGTTGAGTACAGCGGGAAGAAAACACCTGGGAGGCTGTGTCAGTGGACACCTTGTTTATTATGGCAGAAGCAGAGGTTTATATAGGAAAGTTTCATGGGCAAAGAGGTGGGGTTGGTTTTCTGGCAGGCAGGCAAGTGGGGAGAGGGAGGGGGCTTCTAAGGCTACGTGTCCTTTGTCCTGTCCTCCAGTCACATGATCTACAAGGGACTCGGTTAGGGTTAAAGGATTAGAGACTTAATAGTTTTGTTTGGGGGCTGTTGGGTAAGAGACAGTGTATCTAGAATGGAGCGGGCCAGTTTCCTGCCATCCTCTAAAGGAGGTATCCAGCCTGGCGGCTGTGCTCTACATTCCAGGCACTCCTAACTTATCCCAATTTCTTCCCCTTTGTCTTTTATAAGAGGTATCATCAAAGTTGAAGAAGGTACTAGGGATAGTTTGGTACTGGACCAGGACTCAGTTGTTGGTGATTTTAATGATGTCCTGTATGCGACCTTTGAAAAATTGAATTAGGGTGTCATGAGAAGCAGGGTACATAAGGCTAGCAGGGGGCCTAATAAGGGTAGGAACCAAGCAAGGAGGGGCTTGGAAAACCATGGGGGTCCTCCTGGATCAGAGAGGACCTGGAGGCTATTCTTTTTAGGTCTTGAAGAGTTTTGACATTTTGTTCAACGGTTCCAGATTTGTTTATATAAAAACAACTTCCTCTTTCAGTAAGAGGCAGGTCCCCCCTTGTTCAGCTGTTAACAAATCAAGGGCCCTTCGATTTTGGAGCATCACCCTGGCCAGGGATGTGATTTGGCTTTGTAAGGCCTCAAGGCTCTTGATTGTAGATGTCATGGCTTATTCTAGCCGGCTGTGAAATTCGGTGGCCGAGTGATAGGAGTGGCCCAGCCCCCCCCCCCCACGAGTCCAACTGATCCTGTAGACAGAGTGAGTCCCAGGCCGATGAGCAGGGAGATGAACCTCTCTTTTATGTTGGTGGGGAGTTGTCATCATATTGGCCACTTCTTCCTTTTCTAGAAGATAGAGTTGGGGGTTAACAATGACAGGCGTACAAAAGGCAGGAATAGTTTGGTTGATCCAAGTTGTTATAGTGCCATTACACCAAAAGAGGGCCGGGGAGGTGCACATAGGGCTGTGGATATAGATGTGTTAGAGGCACAGGTGGGGGGTAAAGCAGAGGTGCTGAAAAACAAAAAGGCAAGGAAGGGAGCTGGTCATAGAGGGGGATGTTGGGGAGGGGTCGGTGGTGATCATCTCCTGGGTGTTCCCTCCAGTGATCGAGATGTTAGCTGGAACAGCTGCCAGCAGGGGTCTGGTGAGAGAGGTGCAGAAGAAACATTGAGAAATATTAGGATGGGAAGAAAGCCGGTTAAAGTCAGAGGCATATTGGATGTATTGAACCCAAGTTAGGGATGTTTGAATTTGTTTTTTAATCTCACCCTCTTGAGAGAGGATATGTGATTTAATCTGTTCTGATTGTGGTACTGGCACTAGCTGGTGGGATATATGTATGTCAATGTTGGGGTATGATGCAAACCCGTTACTGTAAAGCTTGCCATAAACTCCAGTGTGCCATCAGTCATCCCAAGGGTCCTTAATTTCTATTGCAAATTTATTTCCTTTGGCTATATATTCACTATAAATGCTGTATTTGTTTTCGAGCTTTTTCTGTGCGACAAGACTGGTATTGACAACCGCCATAGATGTCTTTGTCTTATAGGCAGTCACCCAGATTTCTAAAAGGAAAGCATGCATAAGCATCTAA